TGTGTTGTGTCATCAGTGATCTCATTTAGTGTTGGTGTTGAATCCTTATACTTGAGATTATTATGGTTCCCAACATGTGTAGTAGCTTACTTAGGGACTGCTAAATGCTACTCTGTAATTGGGTAGTTATAAAAGTAGTTTTCGGGTATGCTATGAAACATGTAGTGGGATATGAATAATCGAGATGGGATTTGTCCCTCCTATGGAGAGATATCTTTGGGCCCCTCGATGTTGTAGATTATGGAAATGCATGGCCATGCCAAAGGTGATTGAGGAGTCAATCACAAGTTATATAATCTATCAACAGGTTTGAGTGAATGATTAAGCTATTAGAGGATGGCACATATCTAGCATTGAGCTTAATCGATATCGTGAGGCAAAGGGGTTCATACATGTATACACTAGAGGTTCAGCCGATATGATCTTTTCGTATGCCCAATGGGTCAATACGTTCTGCTAGGGGCCGCTGTTGACGCGTGAACTGAAAAGGAGTTTTCGGGTTACAGCCGAGTATACATAAACCTACAGGGTCGCACGCTTAATGGGCCGGAAGAAGGGGATTGGATGGAGATCCAATATGAGCTTAATTCGCATAGGGATCCGAATAGAAGTCCTATGGGCCTTGGAGGCCCGAGTGATGGATCCTATATATTCGTGAGGGGTGTGACCAGCGGAGGCATTGCATCACGTGAGAAACTCTAGCCGTCACTTCCCTCCCCGAGCAAAACCCTAGCCGCGCGCAGGTGCTAGCACATCTGTGTGTGGCGTTCTGTCTCTGTATGTGTGGATACCAGTAGAGGCACCGCTGGTTTACGGTGCTGATCGGCGTGGGAGTACGGCGAGAAGAACGCACGAGGAGGAGAAGGTCGAGCCGGTGCGATTGACTACTTCCTCTACATCGACGCGCGCTACTTCGCGAGAGTTCCTTCTACTTCTCAGCGTCTTCTTCCGCTGCGCAGCGCATCGAGTGGTAACGATTTATGATCTAATACTTGCATGGTTCCTGGTTTACGCAATAGAAAATTTTGATTTATGCTATCGTAGCCTACGCGTATCCCAACAGTGGTATCAGAGCCGCCTTGTATAGTTTATGATCTAGATCATTGCATATAATTGATATGCAGGTGTAGTAGATGAGATCTATTATGTTGTATATGAGTTCTTAGGTGATCGGAACATGAGATGAGCTAATAGCCGCATGGGTTGATGAGATCAATCGGTATGTGTGTTGGTGACTTCACTGGAATGTCTAGTACTCACCAAGGCCGAGCGCGATTGTGTTCATCGGATAGTCCGATGTCCACTGGAACCACACGCCAATGAGAAAAACGAGCCAATGAGATTGACTCGGTTTCGGCATAATTTGATTACGCCGTTAAGGTTTTCACATAGCGGGACCGCCGTGTGCATTGCCCCTTAGATTTCGCTTGGGGCTTTATATCTATCTTACTTTATTCCTATTATATATTTGATATGACATGGTAGGATAGATTCCCTCAGAAAAATTATGTTTAATTTATGCTCTTCCAATAATTGCACCTATTATGGTTTGCCATAGCAAAGTGTCACTTTTTATCATGATAAAATAGGATAGATGTCAGACATCTATATGCGGAGATTATTGGTTTACTTGACAAAGTTATCAAAACAGTTTTGGACCTTGGGGCATAGGTTGGGTTGGACATGGAGATATCACCCCAACAGCACAAGAGTCACATATGATGTGATTAGCAAGGTGTTGGTTACCTATTTTGATAGTTGTCTAGTTGTGATGCCAAAGCTCATTAGACACTAATAAAATGAGGATCTTGACTCACTATGTTACTAGAGGGAATTTTGTTTCACAATACATAGTGGAAGTATCTTTTGTTAAATTGTTTAATGAAAGGTTAAATGTAAACATGGTGCTGATTTTGCATACATATATTTCTATTGTAGATCATGGCAGCTCCTGCACCATCCAGTTTTAACTTGCGGTCTATTCTTGAGAAAGAGAAGTTGACTGGAACAAACTTCATGGATTGGTATCGCAACCTGAGAATTGTTCAGACAAGAGCACAAAGAGTTTGTGCTTACACAGCCTTTTCCAACTGACTTGCCCAATAATGCTCCTGCTGCTCAACATAGGGAGCATGAAAAGCGATGCAATGATTATCTTGATATAAGCTGTCTCATGCTTGCTACTATGACTCCTGAGCTTCAAAGGCAATATGAGGCATTGGATGCTCATACGATAATCACGGGATTACGTAACATGTTTGAGGAGCATGCAAGAGCTGAGAGGTTTAATACCTCAAAGTCCTTGTTTGCGTGCAGGCTTACAGAAGGTAATCCAGTGAGCCCATATGTGATCAAAATGATTGGTTACACCGAGAGTCTAGATAAGCTTGGTTTTCCCCTTAGCCGAGAGTTGGCTACTGATTTGATTCTCCAGTTGCTCCCTCCCAGCTTTGAGCCATTCATAATGAATTTCAACATGAACAACCTGAACAGGACCTTGGCAGAATTGCATGGGATGCTAAAGACTGCTGAGGAAAGCATTAAGAAAAACTCCAACCATGTGATGGTTATACATAACGCAAGCCCAACAACAAGAAAAGTGGTCAAAAGATAAAGCTAAACTCTGATGAGATCACGAGTACTAGCAACTCTAAGACCAAGGTTCAAAAGACAGGGCCCACTAAGGATGCAGAGTGCTTCTTTTGCAAGGAGACAGGTCATTGGAAGAGAAACTGTAAGAAATACCTAGAGCAGCTCAAGCAGAAGCAGCAGGATGGAAAGAGTTCCATCTCAGGTATTAATGTTATAGAAATTAATCTTGCTACTTTCTCTACTGATTCTTAGGTATTTGATACCTGGTCAGTTGCTCACATATGCAAATCATTGCAGGGGCTAAAAAGAAGTAGGAACTTAGCAAGAGGCGAAGTGGACATTCGCGTGGGCAATGGAGCAAGAGTTGCTGCTGTTGCGGTCGGCTCTATGCTATTATCTTTACCGTCAGGATTAGTTTTGGAGTTAAATAATTGTTATTGCATTCCAGCTTTGTGCAAGAACGTTATCTCTGCTTCTTGTTTGCAAGCAGAGGGTTATGGTTTTAGATCTGTGGACAATGGTTGTTTAGTCTATTATAATGACATTTTCTATTCCCATGCACCCATTATGAATGGCTTATACATTGTGAATCTTGATGGATGTTCAGTCTATAACATTAATGCAAAAAGGCAACGTCCTAATGATTTGAATCCCACTTTTATTTGGCATTGTCGCTTGGGTCATATAAATGAGAAACACATAGAGAAGCTTCATAGAGATGGACTTCTACACTGGTTTGATTTTGAATCATTTGACATGCGAATCTTGTTTACTTAGCAAAATGACAAAGGCACCTTTCACGGGTCAAAGTGAAAGGGCAAGTGAACTATTAGGACTAGTACATACTGATGTATGTGGACCAATGAGCTCAACTGCTAGAGGTGGTTTTGGGTACTTTATTACCTTTACCGATGACTTTAGTAGATATGGTTATGTCTACTTAATGAGGCATAAGTCTGAGTCCTTTGAAAAGTTCAAGGAATTTCAGAATGAGGTACAAAATCATTTGGGCAAGACAATCAAGTATATATGATCTGATCGTGGTGGAGAGTACTTGAGCCTTGAATTTGGTAATCATGTAAAGGAGTGTGGAATTGTTCCACAACTCACTCCGCCAGGAACGCCTCAGTGGAATGGGGTGTCTGAACGGAGGAATCGTACATTGTTGGACATGGTGCGATCAATGATGAGCCAAACTGATCTGCCGCTAAGCTTTTGGGGTTACGCTCTAGAGACAGCTGCGTTCACACTAAACAGGGTTCCATCAAAATCAGTGGATAAGACACCATATGAGATATGGACAGACAAGCGTCCCAGTTTGTCTTTCCTAAAGATTTGGGGCTGTGAGGTCTATGTAAAACGTTTGCAATCGAACAAACTCACACCTAAATCAGATAAATGCTTCTTTGTGGGGTATCCCAAGGAAACGGAAGGATATTATTTTTATAATTGGGAAGAGGGCAAAGTGTTTGTCGCCTGACACGGTGTTTTCTTGGAAAAAGAGTTTATTTCAAGAAAGGTTAGTGGGAGCATGGTTTGACTTGAAGAAATTCAGGAAACACCGGAAAACGCTTCAACGTCCACACAACCACAACAAGCTGAGCAAGATGTTGTTCAACAGGTTGAACAAGTTGTTGTTGAACCAGTTGTGGAAGCACCGGCTTCACGAAGGTCCGAAAGGATACGACGTACACCTACGAGGTATGCGGTGTTAACTACAGGACAACGTGATATACTGTTGTTAGACAACGATGAACCTACTACCTATGAGGAAGCAATGGTGGGACCAGACTCTGAGAAATGGCTTGGAGCCATGAAATCCGAAATAGAATCCATGCATGTCAATCAAGTTTGGAACTTAGTTGATCAACCTGATGGTGTAAAAGCCATTGAGTGCAAATGGGTCTTTAAGAAGAAGACAGATGTAGATGGAAATGTGTCGGGTCCCAAAACTAATGATTTGGTAATCGACATGTTTAGACTGTATCAAGCCCTGGATTAGTAAATTGATACAGGTTCAACACTCTGGATCTTCATTGCATACGTTTGAATAAGGCTCCAAAGGAGATATTATTACAAAACATATGGGTATTTACAAACTTGTGGCTAACTAATACAGCAGAAGCTATAGAATGACTTAGCTCTAATGTTTGGCTATAGACTTAAACCATCTATCTAATCTAGACTTGAGAATTAGATTGAAATGAAACTAACTTATGTGATTGAACTCCCAATTTCGATAAGAACTCCAAAATGACTCTGAAAAAGAGGGGTTGAAGCAAGGGTGAGTACAACATACTCAGCAAGCTATTATATTCAATAATGAATGCATGAAATGGTAATATCTGAGTAGAGCTAGGTTTACTTGCAGAAAGCAAATAATATAAAAAGGAAGAAAGCCTAGAATGTTTTAAATGCAACAGTATTTAATAAAGTTTAGAATTAAGTTTCTAACCAAATACCATATGAGTCCCAATGCTCAAATCCGTGAGCACGGCTATTCGAATAGATTCATTTATACTCTACTGCAGTAAATGTACGCTTTACCCGCAATCCATGACGTGCCAAACACATTAGCCTTGTCATGGCAAAGCTTTTCGGTTACTAACATCAGTGGTAACTGTTCCATGAACTCTAGTCCCCATACGCTCTGAACGTAACGTTATCAACAGCGAGAGGAGTTCTGGCGTTCCCGAGGTCTTTAGAGAGAACTGATTGTATGACACCATGTCATCGCAATCAGGGTTCACAAACAAGTCGACATCAATAAATCTCATATATTTACCTACGCCTCGGTAAATATCACAATCGCCCTGCTCGGTGTAAATTTGCCTCCTGCGCGAGGACTTAAAATAGAACCAATGTACAGATGTACCACCTTTGCTAGATAACTTAATCAGCTAGGTCTATGCCCATACGAGAATTGCGGTCGTACTCGTATGTTCTTCACATGTACTTGGCAATTTTATGTCGGTTGAAACAGTACTAGCCACCCATAAATCAACCATTTCTACCGTACTGTTCCAATCTAAGTTTATTATATTTTATGTAATCTAACTAGGCATGGCTAAGCAAAATCTAGCATATATCTGGTTTGCTATATATTCAGGTTATGCATTTAGAATCATGTATGGCTAATGCACAAGATACTGGAGATATAGAATATAGGATTATTATGCTCAAGGAGAGGAATAATAACTTGCCTTGCTCCAACGCAAATAAATCCGAGATACGCAACCTGATTGTCCGATCCTTGAAATACCACCGGTTGCCATCCAAAATATAATAGACTCTACTACAGAAGAGGAAGAACCAAATTCAATAAAAGCCATAAAATAGCGAGAAAGAGATAAACAGTTGGGAGGGTTAGGATTTAGGGTATAGCCTATCTCTTTTATAGGGTATATGGATTACTGAGCTGATATTTTATGTGTCGGTTCTAAAGAGTTGGCAGCTGGGGTGGAGAAGGAATTAAGCGGCTAAGATCACCTATATTTTATGTGCAGACTTTGATTGGTTGGTGGATAGGGAGTATAGTGGATAATTGAATTGGTTGAGCAGATATGTGACTGGTATTGGCTGATAGTAGGTTTGGATAAGATTATACCTAGGGTTTGGTTATATTTAGGCCGATTGAGGAGTAGGGCAATATATCGGCCAGGCTCTATATTTTATGTATAGGTTGTGGTAGACAGAAAGTAGGTGGATGAGAGTATGGTGGATAGGTGATATTGTAGAGGGTATGGAATTTGGATGACAACTGGGATTTGACTAGCAGGGTATCAGCTAGGGTTTGGTTGTTTGCTAGTCGTTGCTAGAGTTGGCAGCATAACGACTAGATTCAGTGTCTTCTCTTGCCAGTGTCAGCAGACAGCATATCGGCCAGAGGGAATAGGAGGTGGGTGTAGGTTTAGTAGGGCGGAAGTGTTACTCTGACAACCGTGGGTGGCGGCGGAACGGCTAGGATCACACAGAGACTGAGAGCTAACTGTGCGGCGTGCTGTGGAGGTCGATAGAATAGTGAAACTCCGACCGCTATACGCATCAAGGCGTAGGGTGCCAGGAGCAGCACTTCGACCTTGGGTTTGGTTTATGCCGGGCTTTACAACTAACGGTTCGATGTTGGGGATAGAAAACCGTGAACGTCCCCACGGAAGGCGTAAAGTTCCAACCGGCGGCTTTTTAGTGGCTAAAGGGTAATTGGGATAAAAGAAAATATTTGAAAAGTCAAATATAAATTCAAACGGTATTTGAATAAATTCAAATAAAATATTAAAATAGAAAATTTGATATCAAAATGTAGATTTTGAATTTAGATGAATTTAGGTCCAAGTTTCACTGGAATCGGATCTACGGTTTAGGAGATATGGGCTTCTAAAGAATAGAATTTGAATTAAATAGGGAAATTACGAAATAGTACTATACAGGGGCCCACCTGTCAGTTCTTCGTCTCTTCTTCTTCTTTTCTCTTTCTTCTTCCTCCTTCCTTCTTCTGCTTCTTCTCTTCCAGCCGAGCAAACAGAGAGAAGGGAGAGGAGGGGCGCCGATGCTCCGGTGGATGAACGGCCTCGACGGCAGCGGCCACGCGTGTTCCCGAGCGACGCGCACCCGGGGAGGTCGGTGGCTGGCCGAGAGTGAGAGATATATAGCCGGAACGGCGGCGGCAAGGGCTCACCTCGAGCCGGCATGGATGAATGCGGTGGTGGCTTCACTTAAAGGTGGAGGGAGAGGGGAAAGGGGAAAAACGGACTCTCCGGATGGAGGCGAAGCCGATGGCGCGAGGATAGGGGAGGTGGAGCTACGGATGGGGAGATCGACCGACGGCGTCGACGATCGGCCATGGATGGAGAGAGAGAAAGGGAGCTCGAGGCTCTGTTGATGTGTGGAGAAAAGGGGAGGGCTCGCCTTATATTTATAGGCGGCGAGAGGCGGTGGCTGATGGCGGTTCAGAGGAGAAGGTCGATGAGGACACGGCTGCAGCGACGTGGAGAAAAGAATGACGGCGCCGGCTCTGTCCTCTGATCGGCCGACGATGGCGGTTCGTCCCTGTTGCTGACGTCGGCGGAATGAAGTGTAGCTGACGTCGGGTGGCGGTTCCTTCGCGTCGACAGCAAGATGGCGGCGGCGGTAGCTGAGTCGTGCACGGCGGCAGGTAATGGCGCACGGTGGCGGCGCCTGGAAGCGCCCATGGGAGGAGAAGCAGGGAGTCGGCTTGGGTGGGAGGGGCTGGGCCGACTTGGGCCGGTCTGGGCCGAAGGAAGAGAGAGAAAATTCCGCCCAAATGAATAGGAAGGCTTTCTAATTTGTGTAGGGAATTGAGGGATGGAATTTAAATCCAAATTAATATTTGGAAGAAATTTAAGTGGCTAACCTTTGAGATGAATTTATTTTGGAGATAATTTCCAAAGAGAGATTTCCTAATTATTTGAGTGCAATATTTTAGAGGTAGCATATAATGGAATTTATTTGATGCACTCAAATGAAAGGGTAAGGGATATATGAATGAAATTGAATGTGTAAATAGGAAGGTGGGAAGAAGATAATTGGAGAAGGATAAGTAGGGTTTTAGCCTCAAAATATATGGCATGGGTTTCAAAGAATTGTTTGAGGCTAATAGGAAATTTGGATGACAAAGATATAATCTATTTTCTTAGCACAAGAGTGTTAACAGTGAAATTTGGTAAGCCCGGAGTAATCATCGGCTTAGAGTCAGCATTGGCTTCAAAGTTCTGAGATTAGCCGATGAGAGTTGCCAAGTCGTCAGTTGTCGGATTCTTGCTATATTCGGTTAAAGAAATTGATCTACTAAAGGAAGCTTATCTAGAAGAGACCGAGTTCAAAGAGAATACGGCATGGTAAGTTATCTACTAATTAGGAATAGTTTGTTAGTTTCCTTTTATCTTTAGGAAAGTGTGTTTAGTGTCCTATAAGGACTTTATCTTTTCCTTTTATATTTAGGAAAATTTCTTTCTTGTCCGATAAGGACTTGTATCAACCCATGGGTATAAATATGTACACCCGGGGTCTATGTAATTTATCTTTACGATCAATACAATTCGGCACATCGCCACCTTTTATCTTTTCTACTTTATTTTATCGTCCGGCGGGATTTGGCACCTGACGTGGGGTTGCATCGGTGTTCGATCTCTGGCTAAGAGGTAAGTCCAATGTTCTGTCGGTCCATGCAATTGTATCGTCTATGTCGGCGTCATTTAAGGTTGCATCAGTACATTCGACCTATTGGATTGCTCTGGTTTGGATGATATTTTTGCCTACCTATTTATCATATGTCTTTGTTAATCTAGTCTTAGCATATCAATTTAGTTCTATCGGCTGCTTCTCGTTTTAGGGTTTCTGCCAGTATCGGCTTAATCGCGTTGCTAGTTAGATTAGCTTAGACATCTACCACCCTGAAAACTCAGTCAACGGTTTGATTGTCTAGATATTATGTTTCTTTTCATACTTAGTGCTGCATCAGATACGTTTGATTGCCATAATCTCTAGCCTGCTTCTTGATTGCCAATAAGGGTTTCATCGGGGTTTCAGCCGGTGAGTTATCTGGACGTTGCATCGGCTCATAAGGATTGCATATACATATAAGTTGGATTTAGCCGATGACAACAAATGTTTCACTGTTTAATCTAATCTTGTGGATTTCATGACATCGGACCTCCTGCCGATGTGTGCTTTAACCTTCGGATCAATGCTTATTTATCATATCATTATTTGCTGATTAGTTTATACTGGATTATATTGTTATTTTATTACATCATCATCAACCGATTTCCTTTATATCATTATCTACATTGGACATATAGCCGATAGCACAAAACCCTATCACTATCGGCTGGTATCGGCATCGGCTATTATCGGCTATCGGCTGGAACTAATCCATCGGCTTGTCAGCCGATCGGCTGTTTTAATCTACTATTTGCATATCTTGTCAGTTGCAGGATCAAACTGACTGGCACGCCCGCATCTCATCATATTTGGACCTGCAAAGGAGCTAAGCAGATCTCTCAGGCCAGTGTGTTCGATTTTTTCGTCAACAAAGAGCAATTATTCATAATATTTGCAATAATAATATTTCTTGTGCCGAGAAGAAAATCAAGCCACAAGAATTAAATTGGTGGCTAGATTAAAAGAAATGATTTGGATATTTGGATCGAGAATCAAAGGATGGGTTAACAAATAATTCCAATAACATTGGAATTGCAAGGATTTGGTTTGAAGGATTTTCCTTGGACCTCAATTCACAAAAATAAAAGAGGGTTTTCAAACTAAATTTGAATAAAAGGAATTTTGTCAGAATAAGGTTTTAAATTAAAACCAAATCAAGAAATATCCCAAGATAATTTTAAATGAAAGTCACAAAAGCTTTTAAATATCAAAAAGGGATTTTATGCAAGTTAGTTTTAGGAGGTCGCTCTAATTATATTTTCCTAGGTTTAAAAGGTTAATAAGAACATAAGAACTGGCATGATGCATAATTAGAAAATTCTAAATTTTCAGTATGTTACAAAATGTTCACATCTACAAGGCACGATTGGTGGCGAAATGTTTCAGACAAATTCAAGGTGTTGATTATGATGAAACTTTCTCGCCAGTCGCCATGCTAAAATCTATTCGGATTGTTTTAGCGATTGCTGCCTATTTCGATTTGAGATATGGCAAATGGATGTCAAAACAGCTTTCCTCAATGGAAATCTCGATGAGGATGTGTACATGACACAACCCAAGAGATTTGTTGATCCACAATCAGCTAAAAGGATATGCAAATTGCAGAAATCCATTTATGGGTTGAAGCAAGCATCTCGGAGTTGGAATATTCGTTTTGACGAAGTAGTCAAGGTGTTGGGCTTTGTCAAAAACGAAGAAGAGCCTTGTGTATACAAGAAGATTAGTGGAGCGCACTGGTGTTTATAATCCTATATGTAGATGACATATTATAGATTGGGAATGATATTCCTATGCATGAATCTGTTAAGACATCGTTGAAAAATAGTTTTTCAATGAACGACTTAGGGGAAGCAGCATATATTCTGGGCATAAGGATCTATAGAGATAGATCAAAGAGACTAATTGGATTAAGCCAGAGTACATACATTGACAAGGTGTTGAAGAGGTTCAACATGCAATATTCTAAGAAAGGTTTCTTACCAATGTTACATGGCATTAATCTTGGTAAGAATCAGTGTCCTCAAACGACTGATGAGGGAAACAAGATGAGTGCGATTCCATATGCCTCAGCAATCGGATCCATTATATATGCTATGCTATGTACACGTCCAGATGTTTCATATGCACTTAGTGCAACAAACTGATACCAATCAGATCCAGGTGAGAGTCACTGGATAGCTTTAAAGAATATCCTTAAGTACTTGAGAAGAACTAAGGATATTTTCCTAGTCTATGGAGGACAGGAAGAGCTCGTTGTAAATGGTTACACTTACGCAACCTTCCAAACCGACAAAGATGATTTTAGATCGCAGTCTGGATTTGTGTTCTGCCTGAATGGAGGCGCTGTAAGTTGGAAGAGTTCCAAGCAAGATACAGTGGCTGATTCTACAACAGAAGCCGAATACATTGCCACTTCTGAAGCAGCAAAGGAGGCTGTTTGGATAATGAAATTCGTTTCTCAACTAGGTGTGATGACTAGTGTTTCTAGCCCTATGGACCTCTATTGCGATAATAGTGGTGCCATTGCGCAAGCCAAGGAGCCTAGATCGCATCAAAAATCTAAATACATTTTACGGCGGTATCACCTCATTCGCGAGATAGTGGGTAGAGGAGATGTGAAGATATGCAAAATACATACGGATTTGAATGTTGCAGATCCATTGACAAAGCCACTCCCTCAGCCTAAGCATGAGGCACACACTAGGGCAATGGGTATAAGATACGTTCATGATTGACTCTAGTGCAAGTGGGAGACTGTTAGTGATATGCCCTAGAGGCAATCATAGAGATGATTGTATCACATACTATGTTTACATATTTATTCGACTTTGTTCCTTGAAATAGATAAACTCATTATTGGTTAATGAATATGTGATTCTTTCATGAGACTCTTTATGTTATGTGTTGCTATTTCTAAAGGATCCCTAATCAAATATCATATGTGGAACAAATATGTTTAGATGATCAGCACATGTATTAATTGATGATCATGTCTCATGGATCATGGTATAGAGATACCAAATTAATAATGTGGACACATGTTAGTGAACATGTTGTTGGATAGACCCAACATGAGACACTGCAAGAGCCATATGTGTTGTGTCATCAGTTATCTCATTTAGTGTTGGTGTTGAATCCTTAGACCTGAGATTATCATGGTTCCCAACATGTGTTGTAGCTTACTTAGGGACTGCTAAACGCTACTCCGTAATTGGGTTGTTATAAAAGTAGTTTTCGGGTATGCTATGAAACATGTATTGGATATGAATAATCAAGATGGGATTTGCCCCTCCTATGGAGAGATATCTCTGAGCCCCTCGATGTTGTAGATTATGGAAGTTCATGGCCATGGCAAAGGTGATTGAGGAGTCAATCACAAGTTATATAATCTATCAACAGGTTCGAGTGAATGATTGAGCTATTAGAGGATGACACATATCTAGCCTTGAGCTTAATCGATATCATGAGGCAAAGGGGTTCATACAAGTATACACTAGAGGTTCAGCCGATATGATCTTTATGTATGCCCGGTGTGTCAATACGTTCTACTAGGGGCCGCTATTGACGCGTGGACCGAAAAAGAGTTTTCGGGTTACAGCCAAGTATACATGAACCTACAGGGTCGGACGCTTAATGGGCCGGAATAAGGGGATTGGATGGAGATCCAATATGAGCTTAATTCGGATAGGGATCCGAATAGGAGTCCTACGGGCGTTGGAGGCCCGAGTGATGGATCCTATATATTCGTGAGGGGTGTGGCCGGCGG